ATGTAGCAAGAAAGAACCAGCAGGAGCCTATAGCTGCCAGTCAACGAATGAACCTGAAAGCAGGCCCTCCCCCAGTGGAGCCTGCAGATCACACCGCAGCCCCAGCCCACGGCCGGCCTAACTGAATCCTCCTGAGCAGAACACTAGCGAAGCCAGGGCCATTGCCAGCCTACAGAAAGTATGAAATAACATGTTTGTTGTTTTAATCTGCAAAATGTTGGGATACTTTGTTCCGTAGCAATAAATGACTAATACGGAGCGGGAGGCTCTCAAGTCCTTCCTTCTCCAATTTCCTTTCCTTCCAGAGGACCACCTCGTTATCCTGAACCTGGAGCTGCGACCATTCTCTTGGGCAGTTTTTCCTCTTGTGACTATTCCAACTACTATTTTAACAATATCTTAGAAATGATTTTTGAAGGTTTTTTGTTTGTTTTTATTTGTGGTACTGGAGATGGAAACTGGGGGTGCTTTACCACTGAGTTATATACCCAGTCTTTTTTCTTTTTACTTTTTAATTTCAAGATAGGGGTCTCACTAAGTTGCTGAGGCTGGCCTCAGACTTGTGATCCTCCTGCTTCAGCCTCCCAAATAACTGGGATTACAGGCATGTGCTTGGTTTGAAAGTTTTGTTGAAAACTCTAATTCCAAATTTTGGAATATTCAATAAAAATCAGTGTCATTTTCCCTCAACATCATTAGGATTGGTTCCAGGATGCCCTCAGATTCCAAAATCTGTAGACACTCAAGTGCCTCATATAAAGTGGAGTATTTGCAAGCAACCTACACACATTATCTTGTGGACTTTACATCATCTCCATGCCAGGCATGGTGGTGTATGCCTGTCATCCCAGCAGCTTGGGAGGCTGAGGCAGGAGGATGGCAAGTTCAAAGCCAGCCTCAGCAACTTAGCGAGACCCTAAGCAACTCAGTGAGACCCTGTCTCAAAATAAAAGATAAAAAGGGCTGGGGATGTGGTTCAGTGGTTAGGTGCCCCTGCGGTAAATTCTCAGTACCAAAAGAAAAAAACAAAAATCACCTCCAGCTTACTTGTAATATGGAACACAATGTAAATCTTATGTAAACAGTTGCTCTACTGTATTGTAGGGAATAATGAATGACAAGAAAAAGTCTGTGTATGTTCAGTACAGACAATTTAAAATATGTATTTTTCTATCAGAGGTTGCTTGAGTCCACAGATGCTGCACCTGTGGATATGGATGGCCAACCCAAATAAAAGGTGTCTCCCAGCAACCTTTAGTTGGCCTCCACCTCCTCTGAACCACTCCTTTCTCTCTAGCAGGTACTATAATGTTGCATTTCACGTAATGTATTAATGTTATTTCCCATAATAGTCTGTGAGCCACTTGGGTGAGGATTTATGTCTTCATAATCCAGGACTTAGCCTAGTGCTTGTGGGAACAAGTTCAGGGGTTGTCTGTGAAAGTCTGAAGAATTTTGGGGCACCCTGGCCCCAATCAAGAATGTTCCTGAAAGAGAACTAAAATGAGATTATAATTTACTTAATGGAAATCAAAGCAATGGTATTATATTCTTTTTGAAAAACAGTGTGATTAGTATTTCTGGCTTCTGAAACATGCCTAGAACATTGGATTATATGATACCAACTTGTATATTGTAATTCAGTTCTAGTACTGACACCCAGAGTTAGCACCGACTACTGATTAAGTGGAGTGTGGGCCATAACAAGATTGCCCTTATTTCAGACCAACTGGTTACAAATCTGGGGGATCCTCGTGATCCTGCTCAGGTTTCATAATTCTCTAGATTGACTCGAAGAACCAGGGAAGGTGCTATGCTTGAGATTACAGCTTAATGTAAAGGATGCAAATTAGGACCAGCCAAATTAAGAAGCACATAGGGCAAGATCTGATTGGGTCCCAAATGTGTCCTCTCTCTGTACAACAAGCATATCGGCTTGCAAATCAACCAAGAAGTTTCAAAGTCCAGAGTTTCCAGTTGGAGTTTCATTGGGAAGATGTGATTGATTAAATAATTGACCATGGAATTGAACTCAATCTCTAGAGTCTCTCTTTCCTAAAAATTGTTGGATTGGCTTTAAAGTCTCAACCCTCTGATCATATCATGGACCTACTGGTACCTATCCTCATTCTGAAGCTATCAGGAGACCCTTCAAGAGCCACCTATTAGCATAAACTCAGTTATGATTCAGGAAGCTCATGAATAATAAAAACATTGCTATCACTTGGAAAATTCCAATATATACATAGTAGATGCTCAATAAGTATTTGCTAAGCAGAAAGATACACTCAAAATACCAGAAATGGTCAAAGAAAGGGATGCCAATTAGGCTCTTGGATTCTTCCACCTGATAGGAATACACATATATTGTGCACATGAACACATGAGGCTACGATAAACCAAGGCCTTAAACATCCTAATCACATGACAAATTCCCTGCACTTTGGCTTCTATTAGAAAGCACCCTGATGACAATTTGGTTTCCCATGTGGCTTGTTTGTAGAAGGGTGCTCAGCAGGTTGACATGAGCATGCACATCTGCCTGAGTCAATTTTCCATTGTACATTCATAAGTACACATTCCGGCTACATAGAAAAATCTCTTTGAACGCTTTGTGCTTTCCACCCTAGTTTGGTTTCTGAACCTGCAAGGCAGATGCTGCTGCTCAAGACCTAGTCCTAAATCCTGGAAAGTTCTTCCAACTGCTGCCCTGGGAGCTATGCTGCTCTTTGTTGCTATATTTCAGGGAGTGGCTTCGGGGCATTCAGAACATGCCTGCCACAGAAGAGTTTCAGGAACACCCCAAATTGGATCTGGGTGACTTGAACATCATCTCATAAAAGTATGTGTGAGATGTGGTTGTCATCGAGAAAGTTGAAACCTAATTACTTGTATTCCATTTGGCTTAAAAAGGAAGAAAGAAAGAAAGCATTTGGAAGAATACAATGTGAGAATATTGATAATCTGGGCCCCAAGAGCCCGAAGCTGCCTGTGTATATCTTGTCCTCATGGAGTGTGAACACAGACTCTGGTGTACACAGGACTTGCAGTAATGACATTCTTCTGGAAGAAATAGAAAAAATTTGCTCCTTTGCACTTGAGTGAGAGAAGATTAGTTGATTCCTCCTTCAGGTGTGATCTGATTTAGTGCTTTAGAGGCAAGTTTCTGATTCATAATTATACCTGTGACTCACTTTGACAGCAAACTTTCCATGCCAAATTAATAAATGATAGTCTAGTTTATGCATCTGTTTTTTTTTTTTAAGAGTTTGGGCCCTTGATCAGTCAGTCCATTAACAAAATTGAGTTGAGCTGCAGAAAGCAGCCAGCTCTTCCATTTTTTACTTTATCATTAATTTATTTGTGCTGGAGATTGAACCCAGGGCCTTGTGCATGCCAGGCAAGGGCTCTACCACTGAGCTCCACCCCCAGCACCCGAGCCTCCTTCTAGATGACCATTCTGAACACACTATACCCTCAAACCTCAAACACCCATTAGGAACCTGCTTGCTCTGCATTATCCCTGACATTCTCCTCTTTGGAGTTCCCGAGCAGTGGGTAGTTCATTGCCACAAACCCTTTAAGCCATCTGCTTTGTTGGAGACCTTGATGGTAAGATTTTTTTTTTCTTTTCTTTTGTTGTTGTTGTTGTTGTATGGAGGATTAAATCCAGGCCCTTGCTCAGGCTAAGCAAGTGCCTACCACTGAGCTACATCTCCAGTTCAAGAATATTCTTTCTTAAGCTAAAGTTAAGCCAGTGACTTCATAACTCCTTCATTCTGGTACATTCACAGGACAAAACCAGTGCTTTTGTGTACCCCGGCTGCCTATCCTGAGTCCCTCCACAAGAACTTGAACATGAATGAGATCCTGTCCTCTCACCACCCTCTGGCTCTCCTCTAGCGTCCCAGTGTCTTTTTTGAGAACATGGTCCCCAGAATCTGTTCGGTCCACTAGCACTATTCTTCTGAGACAAAAGCTCTTGGTGCAGCAAGTTTGTTTTCTGTTTTAGCAGCTGCGCCTCTCTGTTGGCTCTTGCACTTCAGATAAAGTTCCTGCATCTCTTTCTATTGCAATTTGAAGCTGTGGACAACCCCAGTGAGGCTGGGGATTTACTCTGATGACCTTGTTTTCCCTTTGGGTTTCTGTCCAATCCAAGGGAAAGTCCCCTTAGCTCAGGACCAACTTACAGTAGTGCTGTGTCATTTAATCAGACCTAAGCAGTGAATAAGGGTTTTCCTTAGAAAGAATAAAAATTTCTACCTTTCTCCAGGGTGCAGGGAAGGTGTTTTTCTCAGCTTTGTCTCCTACTACTGAGCAGGTAAAAGCCACTCAGGAAGCACTTGATAAATCTGAAATACCAATTTCAATCAAGGGAAGAAGGAAGAGAGGGCGGGAGGGGGAGAGAGAGGGGAACTATTTTGTGGAGGGCTTTCCCCCTCCAGTTCTGAAATAGTGATATTGCATATCAGCAGACCTGGGAGGCAGGGACTTGGTTTCTCTGGGAATCGCCTCACACATTCTGGAATGTATTTTCTGTCCTCTGGCATCTCTTTCCTTCCACAAGCCAGAGCTGTCTCAAGCACTGATTTTCTATTAGTTGTTGACTTAAATCTAGAAAAACGTTCCCATCACTCATTCTCCCCCGCCTTGTCCCTCAGCCCCCTCAGTACCTTTATCCTCTTCCCCTGTCACCCATCAGCCTGCAACCCACCCGGGTTCAAAGTTCAGGATATGATGTTATCTTTGCCCACAGATCCCAGGACAGACCTTGCCAGGGACAACTTCGAAAGGCCATGTGCTCGTCCCCCTTAGGAAGAGGGAGAGATCCCTGCTGCTCGGTTTTGTTCCAATGGTCTGTTCAGCCGGCGATGCCCGTTTCCCCAAAGGCTGCCCCTCATTAGCATGAACGGGGGTGGGGGTGTGGAGCAGGGGTGGGGGGAGAGAAAGCAAGCCAAAGCCCTGGCTCATGTTAGAGCCTGGGAACCCTGTCTACAAAAATGACAGCTAGAGCCCTCTGGCTTCTCTGTTTGATCGTGGGATCATCCCCCGAAGCCCCGGTGGCGGAGAGAAAAGGTAAGATCGCTGAAATGCAGAGCGCTGTGAGAGGAGCGGGGATCCGGCGGGGACTGGCGAGAGGACTGGACCAAGGGCGGGACGAGGAAGGGGTCGGAGCCTGCAAGAGGGGGAGACTCCGGATCTGTGTGCGTGTTAGAAAGCGGGTAAAATGGGTCCCCAAGACTGTGTCTCTTGGCGGCCTTTTTGGAGAGAAGCCGGTTCAACTACTGAAACGATCCCGGGCGAGCCAGGCAGGCTGGAGAAAACTTTGCATGTTAAGTAGTTGCTCCGTCCCAGAGGAGGGAAAGTGTCAAAAGGGGTCGTGGCGCGCCTTTTGGGAGCCGTGCCCGGGCCGGGCTTGCAGGGCGCCCAAGAGCGCGGGGTCCGCCTTGCCGGCGCCGGGGTGCCGCGGGTGGGCACCGCGCCGGGTGCGCGCAGGAGGGCTGGGGCGAAGGTGAAGGCGAGCGGAGGTCCGACAGCCCCGGGCACTTGTCCCCTCTCCCCGCAGCCCCGGCAAGTAGCCTTGGGACACCTGAGCCAGGGTTTGTTTTTAAGACACAATACGCACATTTCATGCATGACATGAAATTGTTACTGAGGGAAATGAAGAAACCAGGCGTTCTCTGCAGAATCGTGTTTTTGTTTTGCTTTTATCTGGATGCTCTATTCGCTTCGTTATCTCTGGGAAAAAATACCTTCCGTACCTCACAGGGCAATTTACTTTGGGTTATTTTTCCAATGGAGATGAATGACTTCAGTGGCATTTAACCCAAATATCAGATCATCTTTCCCATGACAACAGATGGTGATATCAACGGGGAAGTAGTTGTGAGGTCAACAGTTGACAGTCAGGAACTGGACATCCACCAGAACTTTATTCAGCTGTGCAGGATACACCCTTCCAATATAGTGAGTCAGAATCAACCTCTTTGCAGAAACATGAACTGTAACCAGACATTATTGTTGGGCAAAACCTGATTTTAAAGGAGATTATCAATTTGGCAAGATAAATCACTTTAAATGAAGTATTGCCAGAGCTCCAAAAAGGCAGATCAAGCTCTTTAATGCAAAGGGAGGAGAAAATTAAGACTGATTCCCAGTTCTTGTGTCTGATTGGAGGGTACTGGGACCTAGGCAAAGGGCGGGGGTGGGGGGTTGATGTTGTGTAACTGGGCATGGAACGTTGCCCAGCTTCCAAGCTGGTTGAGGTTTGCTCACTGACCTGTCTGTAGAGCTGGAGAAAAATTATTAATAATCTAAAAAGTGTATCTTCATATCATACCATTTAGGAGATTTTCTCCACCATCTAATGGGGAGAAAATTGGAAGCAATGTGTGCTTTTACACTTAACTAAGGTCCTCTGCCTCCCAGTCAAGCTTTTAAAACCCTTTCTAAGCTGTGGTTTACCAGTAAGTAGTGTCCAAGAAGCCAGATAAAAATCCACTCACAAATGCTTGATTCTGCAGAGACCCAGAGGATAGTGTAAATACGGGATGGGAAAACCAAATAGTTCTGTTGTCAGGGGCGCTTAAACAATTAGGAGAACCTGTAACATGAGACTTTTCCCCCTGGGGCTTGCTCTTGGTACTTTCTCAACAAACTGTAAATAGAAAAAGCCGGATGTTTTCATACACACATACACACACACATATGGATAAAAAATTTGCTATTTAACTAATGCTATAAAAAATGTTGAGTTCTAGAATAGAAAGCTGTAATTTGAAAAACTATAGATTTGAAAAGGTTCCTTAACAGAAGAGAACATTGCAATCAGGCCTCCGATTCCCCAGACGGTGCTTGCAAAATTTTCTTAGTTGGCCCCATTCTTAGACGGCAAGACCCCTCTTTCCTTCCTTTGACGGTTAGGAAACGTGTCCCTCCTCTTACCACAGGGGCGTCCTCCTGGTTCTCTTTCCATCACTCCAGGTCTCTGGGCCTCCCCACCTCTGCTCTTACAGGTGCTTGTGAACTCTCCCTCGTCCCCAGTCTCCTCCTCTCCCAGAGCCCTTCCTTGGGTTGCCCCCAGGGATCCTCCTTCCGCTCCAGGCCCGTCTTCTCTCCTCCCGGCCCACGGCCCCCGGCTTCCCCTCACTACTTCTCTCCCCGCACCCCGCAGCCTCGCCGCCACACAACAGAAAGCCCGACCCCAGCGGCGGCGCGAGCACGGAGGAGACACCCAGATCCCAGGTACAGCAGGTCCCGGAGGCCCCGCGACGGCCGCGCGCGGCGGACGACACTCCGCGCGCCTGGCCGGATCCCCGCCGCCGGAAGCCCCCGCCACCCGCCGAGAACCGGGCCGGCTTCCGGGAGGCGGCGCGCGCGCCTGCCGGGCCGCCGGGGCTGCGCCTCGGGCAGGCCGAGAACCGCGCGTCGCCGCGCCGCGCGCCCGCGCCGGAGGACTCCCCGCGCGCCCGCACCCGGACCTTGCGCTTACCGGCCGCGCGGTCGCCCGCGCGCGCCGCCGAGGCCCTCGCCGGCTCCACCCACCCCA